TCTTTTAGATAAAACGGTAAGTGAAAAGTGGTAACCTTTTAGATGAAGTGACATGTTAAAAGGTCTTTTAGATAAAACGACATGTGAAGAGCAATAACTTTTTAAGTGAAGTAAAATGATGAAATGTGAGAACTTTAGATAAAATAGTAAGATGAAATGGTAACAACTTTTCTCTCGTGGCTCCCCACTCCTATAAATAGGGGATAGGAGAAGGGAAAAAGAGACATTCCAAATGAGAGAAAAATAGTAAGAAGCATAGAGGTGAAAGAAGAAGAGGGAGTACGAAGTGTGTGATATTTGAGAGTATTTAGAGGTTTTAGATAAAAAATTTTGAGGAAACTCTACTAAATTTGTGAGAGTAGAGAAAGAGGAAAAGAAGAAGAATAAGGCTCATGATAAAAAAAAGCTATAAAACTGTTAGAAAGGTAAGTTTTTTCTTAAGTTTTGAAGTTCGGTTTCTCTTTTATTTTTGAGATTAGTTTTTGAGTATTGTGTTGGATATTTTTTAGTAAGAAAGTGACCAAAAATCATTTTAAAACTCTGTCGAATTTTTAGGAAAAAAAATCATAAATAAAGCCGGAACTTTGCCTGAATTAAAACTACAGCTGTTAAGGATCTAAGGAAAGTGGATATTATGAATTCATAGCGTACGTAGCTTTGAAGTATTTTATGTATTTTCAGTATAAAAATGTGTACATGTTTAATTTATTTTACATATTTGTTAAGTAAGTATTTATTAAAGTTTTATTTCGTTATAAATGTTATTTCGCTTTGTGTTTTTGAAATGTGATTTTGATATGTGTGTACAACTCATTATGGAAATAAGTTATCCGAAAGCATCTGCATTATGCTACGCTTCAATCTGGTCGTACATAACTGTTCTGTATTTGGGTGTATTAGCGAAGTGATAAATGTGTACCCATACATAATCGTTCCGTATTTAGGTGTATAAGAAAATAGTCTGATCTGCGTGCCCTAACTGTTTCATATTCGAGGGGTAATAGTGTTTCAAGGTACTCATATATGTCATTCCGTGTTCAAGTACATGAGGAACTAATGATAAGAATCTGTGCATATGCATAATGTATGGTAACTGATTGATCCTCCATAATAGTGATTAGGTATACAACATACATCTGTTATTTGATTTATGCTTTCGTCTTATGATTCGTATCTGTTTTAGAAAGATTATATGATATATGTTATGTTGTGTGTAAATAAATTATATATTGCATGTACTATGTTGTGATTTCATAATATTATTTATTGAGATATTTTATCTCGCCCCTCCTATTACTCTCTAAATACAGAAGATACTGCTGCAGAGTGAGCGGTGATATGGAGGAAATCTCTTAAGTTTAAACTATGATATTAAAGTTATTGTTTCATATTTTTGTTTAGTAATATAAGTAAGGAAATTTAAAATATCGTACATATGCTTATGTTTTATATTTAAATGACGTAACGTTTCTACAACTTTTTTATTATTAATAAAATTAAGTTATTTTACTTAATTCGAATTTATATGATTTAAAGAAATATGTTTCGGTCATTACCCTCTAAGATGGGGTGTGGTCCGTGACACTAATACATACTTAAAATATCATAACCACCTCAGTAGAGGTTTAAAGTTGCAAATAGCCATATTTTTCTCTTGCACCTCAGCTTTGTTGCAAGAGAACAATGGCGACAGAGCAGAAGAAGGTGTTGGATATGGTGATTGTGCTAGTGATGAATTCTCTAATACTGAGTGTCGAGGCTGTGCGAGAGATGCCTTATATATCGGCTGTAGGAGACCCAGGAATTAAAAGAGAAGGGTTGAGAGCAGCGTTTGAAGCTTCGAACCAATGCAACGAAGTTGGTGAATAAGCTCCTGGTATGGGTGGCCCAAGAGCTGCAGATTGCTTTGATCTCTGGACTAAGCAAAACCCAACAAAAAAAAGTTCCTGCTTTATATTTTTATCCTCTTAATTTCATTCATTCTTTAGTTTTTTTTTTTTTTTTTTTTTTTTTTTTTTTTTTATGTATTAACGTTTTATTAAATGACAAAATACTTGTTGAAACACAAGGTATCAAGGAAAGATAATAGGCTTAGGGGGGGTACGCCATTCCCTGGGGGTGGTTCAGCAGTGAACAACACAGACCTGTACGCAGTTAATAAAAAATTATACCTGGTTTCTTTGTGTGAAGTTCCAGGTTTTCCAAGACCATGGAATTTTGGGATAGTTATGCTTAAAAACGGAAACTATGATACAAAATTTGGGTTATGTCTAGAGAATGGAAAAAAGACAGGACCATTTAAGCCAGGTAAGTTTTCTTATTTTGGAAAAGGGTGTCTGAATCAACCGATCTTGAATCATCAACAAACAGAGTTGTTAAGTGATGGTACAATGAGAGGATGGTTTAATAGAAGTTATGAATTGGATGCTAAGATTGAAGATAAGTTTGATAATATCTCATTTTATCAAGTAATTTGGGAGAAGAAAATTGGAACTGGGGGTTGGGTGTTTAAACATAAGCTCAAAACTTCGGCAAAATATCCTTGGTTGATGTTATACTTAAGAGCTGATGCAACTAGAGGATTTTCTGGAGGATATCATTATATGACACGGGGAATGCTCAAAACTGTAAGTACGTTTTTCTCATTTTTTTAAAATTTTTTACTTTTGAATTTTGGTGGAATATTGCCTTTTACTATTGGTTGTCGGTTATGTTTCTTCAGCTTCCAGAGCCACCCAATTTCAGAGTTGGATTGACTTTAGATATCAAACATGGGGGAGGACCCAAGAGCCAATTCTACTTGCTAGATATTGGCAGTTGCTGGAAGACCAATGGAGCTCCCTGTGATGGAGATGTACTCACAGATGTAACCAAATATAGTGAGATGATCATCAATCCAGATGTTCCAACTTGGTGCAGCCCAAAAGATTTGCGTAATTGCCCACCATACCATATTACTCCAGATAACAGAAAGATTCACAGGAATGATACAAAAAACTTTGCTTATGGAGCTTATCATTTCTATTGTGCTCCTGGAAATGCAAAAGATTTAGAGAAACCTGTAAGTACTTGTGATCCTTACTGTAATCCTCAAGGACAAGAGATTGTTTAGTTGCTGTCTCACCCAATATGGGCTGAATATGGCTACCCGAGCAAAAAAGGGGATGGTTGGATTGGTGATCCAAGGACTTGGGAGCTTCATGTTGGTGGTTTAGCCAGTAGACTTGACTTCTATCAGGTTTAAACATTTTACTTTATCTTAGTTGTAAAGCTAAATATAAATTCTGACTTTTTATTGCTTTTGTATTGTTTAAGGATCCAGGTACTCCTCCGGGTAGAAGAATTTGGACATCGATCGATTCTGGTACTGAAATTTCTGTGAGTGATCAAGAAGAGGTTGCAGAGTGGACTCTTTCAGACTTTGATGTTATACTAACATAATCTCCCCATCTCACCTTCTTCTCTTCATTTTTATTTATTGCTTTATATTTTTTAGTGCATAGGAAGCTAAAGTAGTCACTTTAAACAAGACAATCTTAAGTACAAATTCATCTCTATGTACTATGAACCAGAAGAATCAAGAGTTCTTTGGAAATAAATATTCACTTCCTTTTTTCAATTAGGTATGATAGTATTACATGTATAGAATTTTTAAAATGATGAGAAAAAGTTAATGTTGTTGTTGCCAATTAACACTTATTTGAATAACAAAATCTTGTTTTCCTTCCTTCTTCCTCCTTTTTCTTTTTATTTATTTAAAAAAATCTCTATGATTAATCATAAACTATCATTGGATGCACTTCTTGAATATGGCAAGTTTGAGCTCTACTTTATCTTCAACATTCATATTGTAATGATATTGTATACTTCTTTTTTTTAATGAGACCCTTATAAAAAAAAATGATATTCGTGCTATTTATAGACAATATTTTTATCCTTTTATTATTTTATATGTATATAATTATAATGACACATATTATATTTATAGACAATATTAGTAAAATACTTAATCTATTAAAAACTCTTACTAAAATAAAAGCAATTTTTTATTAGGGGTATGAATCTTAACATCTATAGTAAAGATGAAAAAAAGTTAATATAAAATTAGATTAATCAAATAATAAAATATAAGAAATCAGATCTTCATAAGAATAAATTTAAGAATATGTTTATTTTGTGATATTACTTGCTATTAGTGTTGTCTCCTATACAAAATAAAAGATTACACACAAATGTTAATTTCTTCTAAAATTTAATCTAAAAAAACAAATATATTCGTGCTATAATTAAATATGGTAAGTAATAGGGAAATCTTTGAATTTTGGCATAATTATAATTTATAACCAAATAAGTCAATTAAAAAAAAAAAAAAAAGAACAGACATAAACGACATATTTGGCAAATACTTTTGAATGTTGCATCATCTGTTAATTACTTGGAGTTTAAGTTCTTATAGTGAAATGGTGGTAGAGAAGAGGAAAAAAATGAAATCAAGAGAGGGAGTAGAACAGTTTCCAAACAAACTACATAGATAGGGAGAAAGAAGAAGAAGAAGAAGAATTGGAGAACCAAAAAAAAAGAAGATTAAATGTCTAGTGGGTACATTTGGATTTGATGGTAGCAAAGAAAATCTGTAAGATCTAAAGTGTATTGTGCTAAGAACATGTCTGGTTCATCTTCATATTTATACAATTCTTGAACTAAGAACAACTTGTACTACCTTTAATCTTAATTAATTAATCATTAGAAGATTAATGATGGTTTATTGTTGTACTTAATAGTTTATTGTTGTACTGGATTTACCCACAAATAAAAGGCAGCTAGTACTGCCTTAATCTATCTTAATCATTAGAAGTTAACATATACATATGAAAAAAGGTATGATCGGAAATAGATAGTGTAGTACATAGTACACGTGGGTAGTACATGAGACTGTACTATACAAAACACATTAGCTTTATTAACGTATAATTCCAGAGCAAGAAGACAGCAAAGTCACAGAAGAAATTAGAGCGGTGTTTGTTTGAGGATTGAAGGTAAGCGAGAGAGTGAAAGCAGAGACACAGGCTGGGAAGAGGCAGAGCATGGATGGAGTCATTAACAATATACCCTTCTGTTTTTGGTTCTACCCCTGCACTGCCTCTTCCCTGGCTCTCTCTTTTTCTTTCTTTTGTTTTCAAATTTCTCTCTTTTATTTTCTTTTACTTTCAAATTCAAATTCTTAACTCTATGATAAGATTATAACATATCATCTGGGATCAAAATTATGTTTGATTTTGGAACCAAATCATTCTCTTGATTGGATGGCTGGTAGAGTTTGTAAATTTGAATCAGTGGAATGTATAAATTTGACTACTGAAAAGTGCAGATTGTGTGAGAATTAAATGACCATTTTCCTAATACTTGATATTTTCATTGTGGGTTTGTCCAAATTTTTTTACAGGGCTGGTAATAGAAGTAGAATTCTTAGCTTAAAACTCCAGAAAAGAGTTTTTGCAAGCCACAAAACACTTGGGGCTGAGTTTGTCCATATTTGGGAACAATTCTAAAAGATGAGCATTTTATTTTTCTTTTGGTAAATTTTTGGTTCTTCTTTAAGTTGTATTGTGTATAAATTAACCAAAAAAGAGAAATGAAACTACTAAGAAACCTACCAAACTGACCATGAGAATTGCAGAGAATCTTAAGTTGCTGGAAAAGTCAAATTGAGAAGATGAAATCTTGCTATATTTACAGGGCAAGTGTTAGCAGAGTATGGATGGAAGAACCCAGATGCTGAATTTCAAGTTTCATCATGTACAATCTACACAGATTGTATCACCTCTACTTGTGTATATCAAGCTAAAAAATTTGTTCTGCATTGTAATTTATCAAAATCAAAGTTCATAATGGTTTGTTCGTTGATGGTTTACAAAATTTCAGTTCTTAAATTTATTCCTATTTTAATTTAAGTGGCCGACAAATCATAAAAATCATAATTGATTATCTAAAACTAGAGTTATAATAATTGATGGAGACTGGTAGGATCAGAAAGTGTTAATTGTATTCTTTGGATAATAAAAAAATAATAATTACAAGTTAATTGCAATTAGGAGATTGGTTGTAATTGTTTTTAACATCTAATATAATATTAATAAAATTTGAATTTTAAATAACTGTTTGCGTTTAAAATTAGAGTTAAAAACGGTCTCTATATCTAAAAGAATGAAAAAAAATATTAAACTATTTTATTTATTGAATGATTTATGTAATGGTCCTGAAAATTAAAAGGAAACGCATATATAAAATTTTAAGCGTGGAAACGAAATAAAATATTATGATTAACATCTCTTACACAATAACCAAAACGTATTAAACGTATGAAAGAATAAGCTAACTAAAGTAAATATTATAAATGAATACTATAAGAAAAATTATAAAATTTTTAGGCATTTACTCGCCGTCTTCCTGTGGAATGGGTTCCGGAATCAAGTCCTCCTGATCTGAAATGGCTAAGTAAGGAATGAGCTACACTAGCCTAGTAAAGAATGTCACACTATCTCACTGTCACAGAAGTAAAGATTGGTAGAAAATAAAACGACCAATGGAGCATAATTTATAACAAATTCATTTATCAATAATAAAAACTCTTTACTGTCCACTTATCTCGGTGAGATTTATGAAAACAACTTATGAAAACAATAACATTATAATATCATGAAATCATACGCACTATGTAACATAACACGTGTCATACTTTTAATATTTCAGTCATCAAGTAACAAATTTCCTCTTTCACCAACCTACCAGTATCCATGGGGATCCATAGCGGTTCCCGCCACACGTGAATCATTCATTTTAACAACTTAATTCCAGGGTCGTCCACATACCTCGTCCGGTATGGGTGTCAAAGCAATAAACCTCAATACCCCATCCGGTATGAGGGTGAAGTGGGCCGTCCCCATACTCCATTCAGTATGAACTCCAAAACATTTAAAGTCTCCATACCCTGTCCGGTATGAGAGACAACGTTCCCGGTAGGGTCCCCTATAGATCTGGTCCGTCCACCATCTCTCAGGATGTCTAGTGAGGCTGTTAACCTATCCATTTATCAACTCAATCTCATTCTTATTTGTTCTTAGTCTCAATTACCCAATCAAACATGAATACGTAAACCAGTAACGAATATCAAACCAAGCAAACATAACATCAGGTTCACAATAATCAAACTATAATAAATTAAACAGTGAATCATGCATACGAAGCCATAGAATAAACAAATTAGATACTACACTGCATTTAGACTGTAAAATAAATCAAACAGGAACTGACCGAAAAACATATCAGATTCGAGCTCCATTAGCAACTTTAATTAATTATACATATCCATGAATTCATAAAATACCATTTTATCATTTATTAGACTTTAATACCGTGATAGGAAATAGGGTGAGAGATCCTTATTTGATTCAAAGTCTAAAATCGGTTTTTTACTGTGCCTACGGGCAGTCACTAGATTCCCTGAATTTTTTTTCGGGAACTGAATCACACTTCCAGTACCTGCACATTTCCCCAAAAAACTCCAAATCAGACCCAGGGCCTCCTCGGCCAATTTCGGAATTCCGACACAGCGGCTCCGCTGTGCTCCGGCGACGACGCCGCAGCAAACGGAGGCGATCTGCCACAGGTTGGCTGTTTTCGGCTGAATTCGGCCAAACTTGCATTGGTTCCAGTGATAAAACACACGTAAGGCCCTCAATGGGCCCAAAAAACTCAAAAAATCGAGACTTACTGGCGGTGGAGCTCTCGGGTGCGACGGCTCCTCCAGCGCGAGTCGCGATTTGGCATTTTGCTTCGGTCAACCTGTAGAGGAAAGGACGGTGGTCACAGTGGTATAAAAATTACATCGAAGGGAAATCGGGAAGGGCCTCATTGGAGGCAAAAACAGAAAAAACCTGCGGCGGCACCGCTGGGCTTCGGCAGTATTTTTCGGCCAATTGGCCGGTAGTTTGGCTCTGATTTGATCACAGAGGGGTTCAGCATTGAAATCCGAGCCAAGGGGAGAAATTTTACCTCGTTTGGCGGCCAGAAAGTGATCCGGTGTGGCGGCGGGTGGCGGCGGTCGGTTCCTCTGGTGGTTGGGTTGTCTTCTCCGGCGAGGGCTCTGGCAGCTAGGGTTTGGGGTTGGGTATGGATGAGATTATTTATAACCTTCCCATTTTAATCTGAGCCATCCATCACGATTTAATTTGGACTGTCCGATCGTGATTAAATTAGAAATGAATCTGGATCGTCCATCGCGATGCGATCTGGGCCATTCGTGCGTGATTCAATTTGGATCGTCTGCACACGTACAATCTGGGCCATCCGCGCGCGTGTTTTATCTGGGCCGTCTGTGCGAGCGGGAACGAATCTCAGCCGTCCGATCACGCGCACGGGGATCGCCCACGTGGCCCGTTCTGCGTGGCATTCCTGCGTCAGTGTCTCCGCCACGCGGCGTGTCCTAGTTGGCCGGAGCCGCTGACCGGGCCGCTGACATGGCTGCTAATGTGGTGCAATTTTTCTAAATTGCGTTTTGACCTTCGGTTTTTTATTTTATTTTCAAAAACACCCGAGAATCCGAATTTTCACCCAATTTTTCCAAAATTATTTTCAATTAAACCCCAAAAATAATTTTACCCATTTTTATCATTATTATTATTTTTATTTTCATTAAATTAAATTAAACTAAATTAAAACAATTATATTATTACTTAAATAAATAAATAAAAGAAAAATTAAAATAAAATAAAATTATTTTAATTCCAATAATAATAATAAAAATAAAAATTAAGGTGTTAGAACCACCTCTCCTAAAGAAATTTGGTCCCCCAAATTTGTCTCTTACTTCTGGTCGAACAAATGGGGATACTGGGCTCTAAAGTCTCATTTTAGTTCCTAGGTAGCCTCCCTTGGCATGTGGTTCTGCCACACGACCTTTACAAATGATATTTTTCGGTTGCGGAGTATTCTGCTCTTTCGGTCCGTGATACCGACTGGTACTTCCTCATAAGACAAGTTCTCTTGGAGTGGAAGCGGTTCATGAGACAAGACATGAGAGGAGTCCGGGTTGTACTTACATAACATGGACACATGGAACACATTGTGGACCTTGAAGAGCTCTGGAGGCAGTGCTAGTCTGTAGGCGGCAATACCAATCCTGTCCAAGACTTTAAATGGTCCAATAAATCGGGGGTTCAGTTTTTCCCTCCTACCAAACCTACTAATTCCCTTAAAAGGAGTGACCTTAAGGAACACCTGGTCGCCTTTCTCAAACACTAAATCTCTCATCCGAGTGTCCGCATAACTCTTCTGCCTGCTCTGAGCCGTCTGAATGTTCTTTCTGATTTTAACTATTTTAAACGTGGTCTCCTCCACCAACTCCGGACCAAACAATTTTCTGTCGTCCAATTCTTCCCAACAAATCGACGATGTGTGCCCATATAACTCCTCATACGGAACCATACCAATAGTCGCTTGATAGCTATTGTTATAGGCAAATTCTATCAGGGGTACATGGTCGTTCCAATGGCCTCTAGAGTCAAGGATACAAGCTCGGAGCATATCCTCAAGTGTACGGATTGTCTTTTCTGACTGTCCATCAGTCTGAGGATGGAACGCAGTACTGAGAGACAACTTTGTTCCCATGGCCTACTGAAAGCTACTCCAAAATCGAGAAGTGACCTTGGGGTCCCTGTCGGATACCATTGTCACTAGAACTCCATGCAATCTGACTATTTCTCGGATATACATTCTTGCCAACTTGTCCAAGAGATTGGTCATCCTGATGGCTAGGAAGTTGGAAGATTTGGTAAGCCGGTCAACGATTACCTAGATGGTGTCATGTCCTAAACGTGCCATGGGTAACCCCGTTACAAAGTCCATGGTGATATTGTAACGGCCCCGGAATTTTAAAATGAAATATGTGTATTAAAAAGGTCAAATACGGAAGCGTAATAAAAATTTGATTAACATCCCTTACACTAAAACCAAAAACGTGCTCAAAGTATAAAAGAACAAACTAACTAAAAGAGAAACTCGAAAATAAAAGCTATAAATATAACTACGGAGTCTTCAGGCGTCCCCTTCGCCGTCTTCCTGCGGAACGGGCTCGGGAACAATGTCTTCATGATCTGAAATGATTAAATAAGGAATGAGTTACACCAGCCCAGTAAAGACATCACACTATCTCACCGTCACGGAGGTAAAGGTGGGTAGAAAACACAAAAAGACCAATGGAGCATAATTTACAACAAATTCTTTTATCAATAATAAAATCCTTTACTATCCACATACCTCGGTGAAATTCATAAAACAATATACGAAAGCAGTAACATTATCATCATCATGAAATCATGTGAGCTGTATAACATAATACTTATCCCGCCTTTTGTAATTCAATCATTATACAACATATTTTTCCTCATTTACCAGCATACTAGTATCCATGGGGATCCATAGGGGTCCCGCTACCCGTGAACCCTTAACACTTGTAATCAGATTCCAGGGTCGTCCCCATACCCCGTCTGGTATGGGCGCCAAAACTATAAACCTCAATACCCCGTCCGGTATGAGGGTGAAACGGGCCGTCCCCATACCCCGTCCGGTATGGGCGCCAAAACACATAAGGTCTCCATACCCCGTCCAGTATGAGAGACCACAATCTCGGTAGGGTTCCCTACGGACCCGGTCCGTCCACCATCTCCCAGGATATCTAGTCAGGCTGATCACATTATACAATTATCAATTTACATAACCTTTCATTCCCCTTTTCCTCAGTCAGCATCATCAATTCACACACACAAACAAGCAAACTAGTAATTTATGCCAAACAAGACGACATACAACATCGGGTTCTCAGTCATTCAACCCATAATCAATAAAACAGTAATATATGC